CCCTCTGGAGTGTTTTTGAGCCCTTCTCCCTGACCCCTGTGTGTATGATCAAAGGAAAGAGGTACTTGTGTGCCTTCGGAGATTCAGCAGCCCTCATGTCAGTATTGCATTGTGTAGGCTTTGTTGGGAGCAGGGCATGGGTCTTCTTGCAATGGGGATTGCCAGCAGTTTGTGGGAGGTGAGTGTGGCTGTGGGTTTAATGAAGGGTGAGTGGAAGCAGAGTGCTGGATGGCCCCATGTGCGTAGGGGTGAAGGCGCTGTGAAATGTAGCAGGGTGGTGGTCTTTCCATGGAGCAAGCTGTGTTTGAATGAGCTCCTGTTCAGTACCATGCAAAGGGAGAGTGCGAGTAAGCATGCAATGAGTCTGTTGGAGCATTGCTCAAAGAGGGCAGAGCTAAGGCCTCGGACCGATCCTATTCAACTTATTCATAAATGATCTGGAGAAAGGGGTAAACAGTGAGGTGGCAACATTTGCAGATGATACTAAACTGCTAAAGATAGTTAAGTCCAAAGCAGACTGTGAAGAACTTCAAAAAGATCTCACAAAACTAAGTGATTGGGCAACAAAATGGCAAATGAAATTTAATGTGGATAAATGTAAAGTAATGCACATTGGAAAAAATAACCCCAGCTATACATACAATATGATGGGGGCTAATTTAGCTACAACAAGTCAGGAAAAAGATCTTGGAGTCATCGTGGATAGTTCTCTGAAAATGTCCACACAGTGTGCAGAGGCGGTCAAAAAAGCAAACAGGATGTTAGGAATCATTAAAAAGGGGATAGAGAATAAGACTGAGAATATATTATTGCCCTTATATAAATCAATGGTACGCCCTCATCTCGAATACTGCGTACAGATGTGGTCTCCTCATCTCAAAAAAGATATACTGGCACTAGAAAAGGTTCAGAAAAGGGCAACTAAAATGATTAAGGGTTTGGAACGGGTCCCATATGAGGAGAGATTAAAGAGGCTAGGACTCTTCAGCTTGGAAGAGAGGAGACTAAGGGGGGATATGATAGAGGTATATAAAATCATGAGTGATGTGGAGAAAGTGGATAAGGAAAAGTTATTTACTTATTCCCATAATACAAGAACTAGGGGTCATCAAATGAAATTAATAGGCAGCAGGTTTAAAACAAATAAAAGGAAGTTCTTCTTCACGCAGCGCACAGTCAACTTGTGGAACTCCTTACCTGAGAAGGTTGTGAAGGCTAGGACTATAACAGAGTTTAAAAGAGAACTGGATAAATTCATGGAGGTTAAGTCCATTAATGGCTATTAGCCACGATGGGTAAGGAATGGTGTCCCTAGCCTCTGTCTGTCAGAGGATGGAGATGGATGGCAGGAGAGAGATCACTTGATCATTGCCTGTTAGGTTCACTCCCTCTGGGGCACCTGGCATTGGCCACTGTCGGTAGACAGGATACTGGGCTAGATGGACCTTTGGTCTGACCCGGTACGGCCTTTCTTATGTTCTTAAGGCTGCATGGGTGTGTACCCTAACTCAGTATTTCCTGGCTTTCAGAAGCTGGAGTTTTGGGGAACTCAACATTCTAGAAAGGTGCAAGATACCACCAGACAACTGCGCCTCTGCATTAATGACGTTTTAGTCAGTGAACTTCCTAGTTTCTTTGAATGTGGTGTTGGTAGTTCAGGTTACTGAGGCAGATGTAGTTCTGTAGGCGTGCAGCTCAGACACTGCTATGGCCAGGCAATGATAACACCTAGCCCTGACATAGCACTTTGCATCAGTACATCTCAAATTTGGCCCAGGTCACCCAGCAGGCCAGTGGCAGAGCTGGGAATAGAACCAAGGGCTCCTGAGTCTCCATCAGCAACCGTGTGGGCTAGTGAGGTGATGCCAGAGGGTATGTCTACACTGCAATGTAAGCCCAGGGTTAGTGGAACTCGAGTCAGCTGACCCGAACTAGGGAACCCTGGGCCTGAGCGTCTACACTCTATTTTACCCTACATTAAGACTTTTCTAATCTGTGCTTGATCCTAGGGCTCTAGTGTCCACACTGCAGTGCGCAGACCCTAGTCGAAGTAGCCCTATCCCAGAGTCCCTAGCACCCTTATCCCCCCGAAATGTGTCTGCTCTAGTACTAGGACTGTGGGGGAAAACTTTATTGCCTGTCCTGCACATTACAGGAAGGTTGAAGCTGCTCACTTTGCAAAAGGTTTGATCTGTTCGCTCTCCACTGCAGACCCAGCAGGCTCTCTGACAGTGCGCTTGCAGATTGGTGATCAGTAGAGAATGGGTTAATGCTGACCTAAGTTGCTGCTGTTCACAAAGGGTGGGGGGCTTTCATTTTCAATAGAGTGGATTGCAGAGTGCTGGGATAGAGAGGACTAAGGAGGTTATCCCATGGAATTGTGGGATACTTCTGGCTGAATCCTGGGACCTGGCTCAAGCAATTGCAGTGTAGACACAAGAGGAGGCTAGGCTAGATCCCAGGCTCAAGCACAGGCTTACGTTGCAGTGTAGACATTCCCTAAGTGGCCCACCCCCTGCCCTTTGTTATCGTGGACTGGGAATAATGGCCATGATTGGAATATTTGCAGTGTTCAGTTCCGACCAGGGCTACAGAGAGAGAGATCTCAAACACGGCTGGTCTAGCTACCAAGAGTGTGACGGTTTTATTACGTGATGGCTAGGGGAACTTTAAACCTGTGAAAGAAGGCTGGTGCCTGCGTCTCCATCCCCTGCAATGTATAACAAGCACTCTCCAAATATGTGGCCCTACCTTCTGGCCGGCACTGCCAGCTCACCCTCCTCCCCTTCCCTTCCCATTAAGCCATTAGTTAGAAGCCAGTTGTGCACAAAAAAACTTTGAGAAAAGTAGCCATAGTTCTGCTATATCCAGATTCCCAGCACGGGAGAACCCGGAAAGCTTGGGATGGTCTGCGGGGTGTGATGTGGCCCATCCATGTGATAGTCTCAGCTTAAATGAGAACACCATGGAGATGAATACAGCCTGAAACAACAGGTTTGGGAAGTGTGCACTGCTCCATTCATCTCAGTTCCCATCCCCACTCCCCCTGCTTCAGCAACCTGTGATGTGCCCTAGGTATGCCCATTCACAGCTCTCAGCCTGGTCTCAGCAGTGTGTTCTTGGTACATGCTCCTAGCATGCCTGTTCTCAGCGCCACACCCAGAGGCCAGGGTTTCCGCACATGGGGCAGGGAGAGGGTCTTTGATAGCCCCCCCAATCCCATGAGAGATGAGGAGAGGGCCCGGACACCCCTAGAGTGTCAGGCCTCCTCCAGATCCCAGCCCATAATGAGGGAGGGGATCAGACTTCTATAGAAGGGCAGGCCCCCCCAAGATCCTGGCTCATCCTCTGCCATTTATCCAAGGCTCCGAACTCACCTACCACCCATCCCTGTTTATCTCCTCTCACCTCCCAGCAAGCATTTGCATGTCTGATTTAAAAACAAGACCACACTGCCAGACACTGATTTTAGCAACATGCCTTCAAACCTTTCCCTGATTTCTGCCCTCCATGGGATCTCAACTGACTCTCCCTGGTTGGGGCAGGATTAAAGGCTACTGTTTAGCCCCTTGAGCTAAGCAGGTGCACTGAGATTTTCCACATTACAGATCCTCTTGTCTTCTCTGTGTATGTTCACTGTAATCTGTTTGGCTCATGAGCAGTTGGCGCATGCCTAAAATGCGAAGTAAACCTAGTGATGAAACCATTCTGAATTTGGCTCCCACAAAGGGGCAGTGGGTGCCACAAACTAGTTGGGGTTAATTCTCAAGAAACTGAGACCCTTGTGCCAGGATCAGAGCCCTAGTTTGATCCCCAGGACTGGGCCAAAAAAAAAAAAAAGAAGAAAAGAGTTGGTAGAATATGTTGACCTTAAAAAAAAAAATAAGGCTGCTCTCCCCACCCCCACTCCCGCCTTCAGGGAGCTGTATCTCAGGAACCTCTTTGTCAAATGACCCCACATCTGGGTCACTAAACCTAGCCCATACCTTTATGAGGCACACTAAATTTTAGGGCAATTTGAGTAACTGCAGATTCCAAGAGTCCAGCTTTAAACAGAAAGCTGGTCTTAACCTTAACTCCAGCCGACCTGGCTGTCTATGTCATCCCCCTTGGTGGCCTCTCTAGAGTCCGTTGTGAGTGGGTTCTCTGCCGCTTGCTAGTGTTCCACAGGGCAGAGACCGACCAATTGTCTACGAAAAGAGCAATTCCTGCTCCAACATCCAAGCCGGCCGCCCGTGAGGGGAGAGTGTGCCTCAGTCCCAGGGGTCCTGGGCAAAGGGTGTAGGGCAGAAGCATCAGAGATCTGTCGCGTTGATGGCATCCCTTGGGGCACATAGAGGGTTTGTTGGCAACCAGCTATTGGGTCGTTATGATGCTGAATGTCAGCAGTGAAGCAAGCTTAGGTTATCGCAGTGCCCTAAGGGCAGGGGAGGATATGCTGATGCTCGGTTGTGTGACACGAGCGCTAGCGTGTAGCCTTGGAGCTGGAGTCTGTTGTTGTGCTGGCCAGGCCCAAGGGGCAGAGTTAAGGTTAAGCATGCACCTTTACCTCTGGCATTTCTTGACCCCTCTGCTTTCCCAGGTAGCTGGCATGGTCTCCTTGTTTAATGGTTTGCACAGAATTAATGCTTGGAATCGCCCAGTGGCCTGGTCAGGGTCCCCTTTCCCTCTGCCTGTAGAGCTGAACTGAAGGAGTCTGAGTCTGGCTTTCTCCCTCCCTGGCTGTGATTGCTGTTCAGGGAAACAGCCAAGGCGGGCAGTGGTGCTCCTAGTCTCTAGTGGCCCTGGCTGACTCAGAGCAGCATTGCTGGGCTCTGTTGGAGCCCCTGGGGGGGGGGGAGACTGGCTTTCCCCCAGAGGGGCGAGCCATGGCTCCTGCATGCAGAGCTTGGCTGGGGGGCAGGAAGTTGCTGGTCCAGTCCCGGTGCAGCCTGGTCCTCTGGGCACCAGTGGACACCAGCCTGATGACTGTAGCCCAGGAAGAGGGCTAGAGGGGGCAGGGCGGCTCTCTGACCAGTGATGCCTTTGGTGCCCCCAGGGCTTTGCTTTACCTGCAGGAGCTGGCCGAGGAGCTGACATCGGTGTACCGGCCTCTGGCTCCCAACGAAGGCCCCCAGGAACCAGAGTCCGACAGCTCGAGGAAGAAGCGCCGAAGCAGGAGGAGGAAAGAGGAGGAGACCGATGACGATGACCTCTCTCGGGATGTGGACTTTGTGCCCTCGGAGGAGGTGCTGCTGCAGGCGGCGGAGGAGGAGGAGGAGAGCGACGTCCTGCTCAGCGAGGTCTCTGAGTCAGAGCCAGAGGCTGTCCGGGGCCATGCCCCGAGGATGCCGTCAGCAGGGGTAACAGCATCCTCTTCGCCTTGCCCCACTGAGCCTTGATGTGCACGACACCCCGTGTGTATGGGGCAGAGCGGGAAGGGAGTCAGTCAGCTCCTGAGCTCTGAGCCCTAAAGTGGGCACCCTCACCCCGGGTGTATAGAGAATGGCTGTGGGGAGGGAAGCAGTCCCTCCTGGGTGCAGGGGGAGGGGGCTCTGGGACATGGCATGGAGGCAGAGCTGCCAGCTTAAAGGGACTCGAACTCCCTGTTTGAACACAGGGCCTAGAACTGGCAGGGAGCTCCTGGTCCCCTGAGGTCGCAGGCAGCCCCTTTGTGAGTTTGTTGAGCTCCATCTTAAAGCCAGAGAAGTGGTTTGCTCCCATAGCTCCTGTTGGGAAGCTGTTCCCGACCCTCCCTCCTCTGATGGTCCAAAACTTTCTCTTCTCCAGCCTCAGCGTGTTCATGGTCAGCTTATCCCTGTTTGGTCTTGTGCCAGCATTGGCCTTTAGCTTCAGCAGTTCTCCCCTGTCTTGGACATTACCCATGCTGTATTCCTTGGGAGCAGTCAGATGTCATCCCCCCATCCCCCAGCCCACTCCCCAGCCTGCGTTTTGCTAGGGTAGTCAAAGCACTGCCAGCCTGCTCCCATAAGACAGGCCCTGCGTTCTGCTCATTAGCCTAGCAGCTCTTCTCTGCACCTGCTCCCGTCTGAGTTCCTGTCTTGCACACGGGTGAACAGAGCTATGCATGGTGTTTGAGATGGGGTCTTTACGAATGCCGTGCACAAGAGCATTATTACTTTCCTATCTCTGCTAGTGGTACCTCCCCTCTGAAGTCCTAGGGTCGTACAGCCACGTCGAATTGACGGCTCACGGTCATCCTGTGATCCACCCACGCACCCAAGTCTTTGCTGAGTCCCCACTTTATAGCATAAACTCTTGTTGTTTATCCCCCCTTGCACTTGGTACTGTTGAATTTCATTCCAGTTCTGTCACTCCGGTTGTCAAGGTCATCCAGTTCTTTCTGTGTAATAATCTGATCCTCCACTGCATTGACAATGCCTCCCAACTTTGTCTCATCAACAACGTTCATTAGCACACTCCTGGTTTTGTGCAAAAGTCATTAATGAAAAGATTAGAAAGATTAGTTCCAAGACTGGTCCTTGAGGAACTCCCCTAGTATCCTTCCTCTAGCCTAACTGTTCCTTTCAGCACAATCCATAAAAGAGGATAAAGGGTTCTAAAATGTAGAAGATGTTTCTGTTGCGTAGGCCAAGTGTGTGACAGTAGGTAAGTGTGGGTCATTCCTATGCAGCACAGTGCAAAGGGGGAGTGAGAGTATGTGTGTGATGAACCTATTGGGGCAGCATTCAGGGGGCAGAGTCTGGTTGAGAGGCCATGTCCCATAACCCTCTCTCTCCTGGTTTTCACAAGTTTGAGTTTTGCTGAACTCGACGTTCTAGAAGGGCAAGATATACCACTGGCAACTGCAGCTCTGCATGCATGAAGGCTTTGGTCAGTGAATTTCCTAGTTTTTTTTTTAATCAGGAGAAGTGATGTGGGTAGGAGTTAGTGGTCATTTAGGTAGTGGTCATTACGTAGGTGTGCAGTCCAGACGCTGCTGTAGCCAGGTAATGAAGGGGATAACCTAAGTCTTTCATGGTGCTCTTCATCGTTATGTTTCAAGGAGGGAAAAATCATTATCCCCATTGTACAGATGGGGAAACTGAGGCATGGAGATTTGGCCAAAGTCACTCATCAGGTCAGTGGCAGAGCTGGGAATAGAGCCCAAGCTTTGAGTCGCAGTCCACTGTTCTCATCACTGGCCCAACACGGTTCCTACGCGACTCATAATTCCCATCCCCCCATGCGCTTAGTTACAGTGGACCAGGTGTAATGGTCATGCTTTGAAATGCTTGTAATGTATAGTTCCCAGCAGGGCTGGGAGGAGAAAGCCCAGCCATGGGCTGTGTCCCAAGAATGTGACAGCTTTATTAGATGGTGGTTACAGGAATTAAGCATGTGAGAGAAGACTGGTGTGTGTCTCTCCATCCCCCAAGTAACGCCCCCCCACACTTCCCAGCTCACCCTCCTCCCCTTCCCATCCCTTTAAGTCATTAGTGCATGAGAAGCCAGTGGTGTACAAAAAAGCATTAATCAGTCAGCAACAGCTTTGCTAATCCAGATCCCCAGCACTGGAGAATCCTGAAAGCGTAGGAGGTTCTGAGCAGTGTGAAGTGGCCCATTCGTCCCAGTGTGATGGGCTCAGCCGAATGGAGACAAGTAAAGCCTAAACCCATAGCTCTGCTGTGCACTGCTCCATTTTTGGAAGTTCTTTGGAATCAACTCCAGGACACAGCCCCAAGATCAGAGCTGCCAGACCTCACACACAGTGCAGAAGCTGGAGTTCCCCAGATGACCTGATCCTGACTGGCCATCACATTCATCCCAGTGGCTGTTCCCATCCCAACACCTCCCGACATGCTGGCTCATGTGGGGCAGGGAGAGGGGCTGAGAACCTGGCTGGAGTGGGGCTCTGCTTTCCTCCAGGAAGCCAAGGCCACCAGATCCCAAGGGGGAGGCAGGGACATCCTCAGAGTGACTGTGTTCCCCTGCTCATATGGGGGGAGAAGCCCATCCCCCCAGATCGTAGCACACACAGGAGATTAGGGAGAGGGCTTCAGGCCCCCCAGATCCTGGCTCATGTGAGGGGGGCGGGGGCTGGGAGGACCCTGTAGAAGGGCCCAGGACCCTTGGATCCTGATGTGCACACAGGAGGGGAGAATGTGGGGCTGACAGGTGCCCTGCCCCTATTTTCCCTCACCCCTTTCCCATGTCCCAGGCCATCCCTCCCAAATCTTCACCCCCACCTGAGCCCTCTGATATGCCCCCCACGCCCCTTCCCAGCAAGCAGATGCGAGTCTGGTTTTTTCCAGAGTACTTTGCTTACATCCCTGGAAAGAAAGGTGTAAGCTACATGCCGTCTTCTCCGCCTCTTCAGCGTCCTGCCCTGGGGTGGCTGGGTCAGGATCAGAGGCTGCTGCTTAGCCCTGGGGCTCTGCAATTACTGAGAGACTGCTGAGGCTGCAAGCCCTCCTGTTCCTCTCTCCACAATTGCTCAATGTGCTCTGTGTCACTCTGACATCGCAGGAGAGCTAAACAGGCTGGGGGCTGCGGCTCCTCGGAGCAGTAGTGACAGGCGCTCCCAGGGGTAACTCTTTGCCAGGACCAGAGCCCTGCTTTGATTCCCAGCTCTGGCCCCCAAAAGTTGGCAGAATGTGGCAACCCTAAGAAAAGCCCTTGTTGTCCTGGGGGGACTGAGTCTCAGGAGCTCCTTTGTCCAGGGATCCCAGATGTGGGGGCACTATACCTGCCCCCGCCCCCAGGAAGCACCCTGACTTTCTGGGCAGTCTGAGGAGCTGCAGATTCTGGAACACTTGCAGGAGTCAGCGTTAACCAGAAAGCTGGTCTGCACTGTGACTGTAGTGCAGGGCGTGGTCTGCTGTACTAAGGGGTTCTGCCTGGTCTGGAGCCAATAGGTTAATTACAGACCCTTGCTACCAGACTTGCTGGTTTGCACTGGGCCAGTTCTTCCCTCGACTGGGTTGGAGGTTCTGGGGCTGAGGCTGGCCAGGGCTGAGGCTGGGGTATGGGCACGCACCTGCTGGTCCCTGCAGCTGGCCAGAACGGGATGCACTTCTCCAGCCTGCAGCAGCCTTTGTGCTCCGACCGAGCCAGCGGGCTGAGCAGGGGCTCACGGCGGATACAGCCCTGGGTAGGGGCTCCATGGGATGGCTGCATCCCCCTGCCGTTTGGGAGGTCTGGGGATGGGTGGAGGGTGTGTTGGGGGGCTGTGTCTGGGGGCGTGGGTGGGTTGGCGGAGGGCAGGGAACTAGCTGGGGCTAACGGCATGGATGTCTGGCCTGGGCTGGTGTGGCTGGGTACCTAGCGCCTGGCTCTAACCCCGCTTTCTCCTGTGCTCAGAAGTCCAAGCCCCAGTGCCGAGGGCTTGCTCCCAACGGCTTCCACAACTCCATCATGGCTCCCGTGTGGAAGTGTCCCAGCATCACCCACAGCCTGTGAGTACGGCCACACTCGCGCGAGGCTAGGGCGGGTGCTGAGAGGGGAGCGCCTGGCCCTGGGGCTGCGACAGGCTGGGTGACCCGCATGGCTGGCTGGGCTGGTGTGCTGGAGGGGCTGCAGGCAGTCTCTCCCAGGGGCCCTTTGGGTGGCAGGACCTGCCTGCCTGGGGTGGCATGGGTAAGGCTCCCTTGCCCCATAGTCTGGAGTGGCAGGGCTGGGTGCATCAGCCTCTCTCAGGGCTGCCCTGTGGGTAGAGGCCTGCAGATTCCTTTGCAGCACAGGTGACTCGAGAAGGGACAAGGAGCCCTTGGCAGAAGGATCCCTGGGGTGGTGAGTTTCAGGGGTGAGGAACTGGGGCCAGACTGGGCTCAAATTCTCTACTGTCTTCATGCCCCAGCCTGCCGCTTCTGCCTGTAGCCTGGGCATGTAGCAGCAGGGAGAGCAGCCAGGCGGGGGGCATGTGGGGTTCTGATCCCTTGTGCTCCGCAGGCGGGACCGGCACTACTCCCCCTGGGAATTCCCCGACTGGCTCCCTTCCACACGCAAGTGGACGTTTCTCTCAGAGAGGTAGGCGAATGGCCTTCCGCAGGCCAGGGCAAGTCTGGGCATGGGGCGGCCCCGGCCTTGGGGCTGGAAATGGAGCCATGGGTAAGGGGTGAATCCACAATGTAGGGGCAGTTCCCTACACTAACCTCGGTGCTTGGCAGGTGTCCGGGAATGTCAGAGGGCCAGGCCGGAGCCCCGGGGAGGGGG